CTATGTCTTGGCTACTTTAATATTATTTTTACGTGTTTTAGCTAGCAACACTGTATCGACCATGAAAGGGAGCCAGTATTTAAACGAGGTTTAATTTTCTAATTTTTAACGATACAATAGCGACGATTATTATTTTAAAAAATTTTTGTTAGGCTTAACATCAATGAAAATTCAACGCGAAGTAGGTTAATAGCGATATACTAATATACTAATTATATGGGATATAATAATATACTACACTAATAATGAATTTTTTCATACTTTTTGGTTACTCGACTTTTCAATAATCCGACCAACCCCAGTCCCCAATTGAGTCGGATAATCGAGGCTCTACTGTAATATACTTTACTGCAACCCATTGACAGAATTTAAAACTATTGTAAATCAGTAAACAAGTAAGGTGTTAAACGAACTGGTTCTATTAATTAAAGAACAGGGTCCATCAGTGGCCGAGCGGGTCCCTTCCACGAACACTGCTCAGTTCGGTCTTATCAAGAGTAAAACTGCCCAGTGGTCTGATGCGTTTACCCATCGCATCACAAGTTTCGCGGAAAAAGTTTTGGCCTAAAAACGTTCTGTTTTCCCCTATAACTGGAAGATTTTAGGATAGGACAACAGAAACTAAAGAAATAAAGCCGATTGATGTTAGATACACAGGTTTGCACTGTATCCCCGAATAAAATTTCACTTTTATCAACCTTTATGCCATCTGTAACGCCTAAATAGGGGCCAGTTACCCTTAAAACACCTCCCGAAAAGCATTGTTTTCCGCGTATCGACCATCATAACCGCATACCACTACTATTACGTGACAATCACAACACACTTCACCGCAGGGCGATATGGCCTAGGAGTTCGTCCGCAAGTAGATGATGCGATACGATATGAAAGAACAGGATAAGACAAAACACGGTCTATAAGTTCGAAGTCTGAACACAGTACCGTGATAAATTGCGGCAGTGGCCATATTGGTACTTTTGTGGTTGGTGTTTATATTCGGCATCTGTAGAGCGAAGTTGGTTCTGTTTATTCGAACTCAATTAATTAACTAGATTATTTGTTATCTATATTTGTTTTAAACGGTTTTGTGGTAAGAAACGAATTGTAAGATATCGTCAGCAAAATTCGCAAGATTCTTCCGTTTCTCGCTGACAGAATTTGTGTCCTAGATGACTTGAATTTTTCGGCTTGGAAAAAGCATCGACAGCATATAAAAAGAAAATTTTAGTGGTCATCGTTAAACTATCTGCAAGTCGTTTAAGTGTAATAATAATATGGAGAAGACAAAGGTTTTGCTGTTGGTCTACTTGATCTGTATTACAGGTGAGTGTCACTAATTATTCTAATTATGTATACGAATATCTAATCGAACTGGATCGGTTTGTTTTGCAGTTATTCCAACCATTACCAGTGGTTATAGACTATGCACTAATGCAGAAGTACGTGGAGTTTGTAGAAGGTATTGCTTGCTGTCAGATATAGCGGTGTGCAAGAGCGTAGATCCACCTTGTCTTTGTCCTCCTCGGTATAAAACAAAGCGACCAAGAACATGAGAAAATCTTTTTGTTCAAATCGAATATACGACGTTTTGTAACGACGAATACCGAATAAATAGCGTTTTGAAATAAATGTCGTACTTAAATTTTATAGTTCATAGATATGAATACGTTCAGTAAACAGGTTTACAGTGTTTTTTCTAAGAATTAACTTCTCCCGTTTTCTGTAAATACTGCTTTTGAGTTGTAAATTACCGCTACTAACTTTGTTCCGCTCGTCTTCTCAGTAATAGGCCAACTGAATCACCATTAGGAGCGAAAGACGGGTCAACATATATATAATTACGAGTCGATTATTCCAACTTCCCGAAATTCAAAAAGCCAACCAGGCTTCTTCCTCAACTTCCATCACTCCAAAACACGCAGGGAGGAAACAGAAAGAGGATTTTTAATATATCAAATTCCGACAATAACAAATGCTAAAAATGAAAAGTAATTTTGTTGAATTATGAATAATTTCTACTTTAAAACTTTTGCCAGATGAAATTAATTTTCAAGCAACGTCTACCAGAAAGACAGTTTGACGACCGAGTTTTCTTGCAGGCTGCTTTAGAGTATAAAGTTTCAAAAAATTTATTTTTACGAACTGAAGGCGGTGGGGGCATAGCTCAGTGGCAGAGCCTTCGACTGCAGATTGTAATTTTTTCGAAGAAATTGTAAAATTACATAATTTCGTTATAATGCTTATTAAAAAATTTAATATATATTTTTTCGATTAAACGATAATATTAGCTTAAAAAGTTAAATTGGCGTTTACTTATTTTAACCTTCGTGAATTTCTCAATTCAGAACGTACTTGTGTAAAGTATTTCGACATTAATGACTTGTCAAATGACATTTATAAATATATTATGTTATTTATCGTTTATTAAAACGTTTGCATAAAATTCGATCGTATATATTTTTTATAATACTAGAATTATTGTAATTTTTTAAACAAATGGTTGCACGAACATAAATAGATTTCACAATAGTCGAGGGAAATAAGAAACGTCTTGGTGCGAAGTTCTTATGTAAAAGAAAATGGAGTTATTAGTTTATTTTTTAAACTAAGCCAATTTAAAGGCTTGCATAAAATGGAATGTTGTTGTAAATTCACTTACACACTTCCAATTTATCAAGCAAACTCGGAAAAATGTTTATCAGCCTAATCCAACTGGTCTTTTACGAACAGTGAAGTTCGGACCCCGTCTCTCATCTAGTTCTATGTAATGTGGAGTCGAACGAATTTGCGACGTGAGCTCACATTATTAATCTTAAAATTCACTACGGATATGAGGGCAGCTGCCCTCGTCGTGATTCGGTTGCAACATTGTGGCCCTGGCCGAATCACGATAGTTGCCAGGTACTTCTAGATAAGGTCGAAATGAACGTATGATAGGAATAAAACACAGCCAGTTCCTGAATCTATAGTTCTATATAAAGAGACAACGTATTTTTCGTTTGTTCCCACTAACCGCGGAAACTACTGAACCCATCCTTACCAAATTTTAACTGTAACATCTTTATGATCCCCGGAATGTTTACCACTAATCAAACCTACAGATTTTTATTAATTAATTAAATAAAATCGCAACTGATTTCTCTCTGTCTATTTGTCTCTCTTTTCACTAGATGACACACGCGAGTTAGTATTTCCTGTCAATGCATTGTCTGTAAGAAAAGTGTATTATTGAAGTTTACTATTATATTTGAAGAACTGACAATAAATTGTAATTAGTTAATTAGCAAAATTTTCCAGGCATTAAAAAAGTGACGTCATCACGCTAGATGACAGTACTGTACGTGTACACGTGGCGGGTTTATTTACCCGCCGTCTTTAGGCCGAAACAATGTACTAAATGTGTTGTCACGTGTTTGCTGTAGCCTTGGTGTTGAATTTTAAGGCGAAATGGGTAGTTTTTCTGCAGATAAAATAATTAGAAATAGTCATAGGATTTATTATTATATAAGGTGTGGTGTCTAATGATTTTACTTTATATATTTCGCTCGTTCACGAGAGAGTTAAGTCGTATCTCGAGTGAATGTTTTTGAGATTGATTGATAAATA